ATTATAGGAAATGCATTTTTCTAAGGTACATAAACTTTTGGGATTGACTGTATAGCCAATACATCCTAAAATACATGTCTGGGAGAAATTCTTACCAGCCAAAATAAAATGAATAAGAAACCAGAATTTAATCCCAAAATGTAAAGATAATTCTGAAGCATCTAAATTAAAATTAAGAGGCTTTAGTTTAATTGCTTAGATTCCTGTCCTGATTATACCTTTTAGAATAAATTCTAAGTGCAATGAATGGAGACGGTATTGCCCTCCCACGTGTCAAACGCAATAATGTTAATTAGCTATCCAGTGCACGCAGATCTTTTGCAAGTTTCCAGTGCGGATCATGAGTTATCGTCGTTATCGAATTGTATGGTAATACAAATGAGGCAACTCTAATTCTAACGGATGAGAACGAGTCAGTTTCTCAACGATATTAATTTCAAAACTAATTACGATCATCCGACGATGGGAAAAGAATTTTCTATTTTGCGTTATTTTTTTATATGAATTCGTCAGCGCTGTTTCCTAATTATTGAATCAGAGGCTATCAGCTTGTTTTCCCAAGGATTTGTCAATATTTGCAGTGAGCATAAATTGGCCTCGCTATCGATCATAGTTTCTTCCCGAGGGTTTTCGTAATCGCGTACCGATGGACGTATCGTTAACAGGATCTATCGTTGGAGCGAGAGGCTGAAATGGCATAATTTACAAGCCGACAATGAGATTATGACCGGTACACCGTGACGCGTATGAGATGAAAAATATCAAATTGTTCCCATCGCCTCTTTGTAAAGGGCCCAAACAAAAGATATCCGGCTACTTTCGACGAGATATCCGTCTATTAATATATCTACGGACGATCCTAATCGATGGCAGGTCTCTTGCGAGACCCTCTTGACGTACCCCAAAAACTCGTTCATCTTTCAAGGTTGTCATTCTACATAAGAATTCAAGATATAATAATTTTTATAATAGGTTTGCAAAATTTCTAAAATTTTACATAGTGTTTTATTAATACTAGATTGCCCAAGGAAGTA